AGTCAGAAAAAAAGTTAAAAATGCGCTAACTTTCTAAAAAGCAGCATAGAGGCTTAGAGATTTTAGAAAAATCCTTGATGAATCTCCTGTAGAACCCTGCATGTCCAAGGAAACTTCTAATGCCTTTGACTGAGGAGGGGGGTGGCAGCTTCTCTATAACTTCAATCTTAGCGCGATCGACCTCTATGCCTTTCTTGGATACCTGATGGCCCAACACTATCCCTTCCTTCACCATAAAATGACATTTCTCCCAGTTGAGCACTAAATTGGTGTCTTCACACCTCCTAAACACTTGCTCCAAGTTGCTCAGACACTCGCTAAAATCCTTTCCAAAGACTGAGAAGTCATCCATGAAGACCTTAACCACAATCTCTATTAAGTCTGAGAAGATTGCCATCATACATCGCTGGAATGTTGCTGGAGCATTACACAGTCCAAAGGGCATTCTTCTAAATGCAAATGTACCATATGGACAAGTGAATGTAGTCTTTTGCTGGTATTGAGGATCGATGGTAATTTGGTTGTAGCCATGTATCCATCCAAGAAACAGTAGTATTCTTGCCCAGCTAGCCTATCTAACATCTGATCAATGAATGGCAATGGAAAATGGTCCTTCTTAGTTTCCTTGTTCAACTTCCTATAATCCATACAAATGCACCAACCTGTTATGGTTCTTGTGGGAATCAGTTCATTGTTGTCATTTGGCACTACTGTGATCCCTCTCTTCTTGGGGTACATATTGGACTGTACTCACCCAATCACTGTCGGCTATTGGGTAAATTATCCCAGCATCAAGCCATTTGATGATTTCCTTCTTGACAACTTCCTTCATGGTATGGTTCAACCTCCTCTGGTGTTCAATCGAGTTCTTATATATCTCTTCTAGATTGATCTTATGCATGCAGTAACTTGGACTAATTCCTTTTATATCAGCTAGAGTCCAGCCAATGGCCTTCTTGTGATTCCTCAACATCTCTATTAACCGACACTCTTTTTCTTCGACTAAGTCTGCTGCAATGATGACTGGCAGTGTTTCTTCTTCTCCCAGATAAGCATACTTGAGGTGTGATGGTAGGACTTTCAACTCTACTTTGAGGGCATTCACCACAGATGGCTGCAGTGGTGCTTGCACCCTATCCTTCAATTCCAGCGGTTCAAATGTCTTCTTAGATTCTATCACATTCAGGTTCATGCAACTGGCCTTGGATCAACTTGGCCTCCTTGTCTCCTGCATTGAGAATTCTTATTAGCTCGTCCTCCAGTTGGTTCAACAACTCTTCCATTTGTATTTCATCACTCATCAAATCATCTGCAATCCTTAACAAAGAACATTCTTCCACATCAGTAGGTATTTAATGGAGTTAAAAATAGAGAATGTCACCTGCTGGTCATTAACTCTCATAGTGAGCTCTCCATTGTGTACATCAATCAATGCTCTCCCCATGGATAAAAATGGTCTTCCCAAAATGATTGAGATTTCCTTGTCAGCTTCGTAATCCAGTATGATGAAATCTATCTCACTCCTAAGGATGTGAGATAGATCGCATTGGATTTGAGGTAAAAACTTAGAAAGTAAAGTAGTAATACTCAACTCTGTTTCGACAGAATCGAACCTGCTTTGTTGCATTGATTGACAGGAGCTGCCTTTCTCTCTTCTCGCATTGGCATTCTCCACACCAGCTGGAGAAATCTTTCTGGTATTTCTTCAACTCTCTGAACACAAAACTACAACAAAATAGGCCAAACAAAGTGAGGAAAAAAGGAATTCAACCGAGCAGGATAGTCATCTGTAATATACATAATAAGGCTACTTTTGCCATGGCATATGTACTTCCAGTTCATGTTTGGAAGTAACATAAAATGTTTTAGAGTACATTATAAGGCTATATTTTTAAGAGGATGTAACTGAACAACGACATGATTTGTTTGTTATTTGACACTTTTTGCCAAAGTACTTTTACTAAAAAAGAAACAATAAAAATTCACTTCGTCTAGTGTAAGCTAATTCTTGATCCTAAGCAGTTTTCTGCTTGATAACAACCCAAACGCTGGATGGCATGTACAAGTGCAATGCAATAGCAATACCCAACCTTTGTTAAGGATCTCCATTGTATACCTCGTCAGCATGAGGTGTTGGTTGTTCACAAGCTTTGTTAAGGATCTCACATTGATAAGATAAGAGACCTAACAAGTGTTTATGATAAACATTGACTAGTCCTCTCATTACCAATTGGTTTTGAGATAGAATCCCCATGAATATTAATAAGCTTGATGAAGGTTTTCACTCTGGACAGCCTTTGAGCCGGCGAATCGACGTTGGAGAACAACAGTTGCCTTATTGAACTTGATAATTTTGACCACTTCTAGCTACTATCATGAAAATGTTCTCCTCAGCCAGTCTACAAAGACACCTCAAACAAATACGAGATCACGAAATCAAGGACGGAAAAACTAAGAACGAAAGGAATTAAAATCAGTAAAAACAAACGAGAATAATGATATTGACAACAATAGAAACAATTCAAATTAGAAAAACAAAATGGAGAAGAATCCGAATTCGACAAGTGGTTCAAGGAACAAAAAGTCGAAAAGGATGATAACTTTAACGAAGAAGAAACCAAAATTGACGAGTTTCGAAGAAGTCGTTTAAAGAAGATTGATGATACAAAAAAGAGGGCGAATAAGGCAAACGAATTCCCGAAGAAGGCCAACTAAACGTGAGAGTAAATTTGGAATAAGCAAAAATTTGAAAATAAGAATCCAAATATTTTGACATATTTACGAAATTATGATGTTGGAAAAAATGCAAAAAGAAAAGAGAATTAGCAACCCATTATAAATAGGGAAATTGTATTGGGGAGCAAAATCATTTTGTCTATTTAAGGAAATGTCAACGACTTTTTAAAACTATAAATATTGCAAAATAATGAGAATTATTTATTTCGAAATCCAACAAACGAGCTTGCATAATTTGCTATTGCAAAAAACCCTCAAAAGGTATTTTTCCCTCCCCTTCCATTCCATTCAATTATATTCCAAGTTATATAGGAATTCAGTTGGATCCAGAACATTGATGAGTTTGACTATTCCAATGAGTAATGGTATTGTCTTTATCTAATAATATTATAGCAATGTACAAGAGAAACCCATCAACAAACTCCCTAGTTTCTTAAGGTCCCTTTTTATAGTAAAAAATAATAAAAAAATTCATTCAAAATGTTAAAGTGGCCAATCAATACAAATGTATCATAGTTGGTAAATCACGAGTATATCAATTACCTATCACACACATATCACTACTATATCAATGCTAAATCAATGGTAAATCATATAGTAGATATATATCAGTGGTAAATCTCGTAACATAAGTTATATCAATAGATCGACCAATGATAATTAAAAAAAATTATATTGATAAATATCATAGTTATATTAAAAATAAATCAGTTGTATATTAGATGTTTTTCAAATATATTTCAAACATTATCAGGGCTATACGAGGGGTAATTCAATCAATAGTAAATCATATAATTATTAGAAGTTATATCCGTAGATATCATGGTTATATCAGTAACTCTATATTTCATTTTCTTTGTTTGCAACCTTGTTTTCATCTGATAAAATTAGTGGATGTATTGGTATTATATAACACATAAATATCATAGTTATATCAGTAGATATCACGGTTATATTAGCAATATATCAGTGGTAAATCAGAGACATATCAAGTATATATCAGTTGTAAATTATATAGTCATACAATAAATTATATCAATAGATATCATAGTTATATCAGTTAACATCAATCGTATATTACTGAGATATTAGTGGTAAACTAGAGTTATATCAAGTATATATCTGACATATATTAGTGCTATATCAGTTGTAAATCAATTATATCAGGAGTTATATCAGTAGATACATAGTTATATCGGAAGTAAATCAGTTGATATCAGTGGTACATTAGTGGTATATCAAACATATATCAAGTACATATTATACCTATATTAGTATTATACTAGTAGTAAATCAATAAATGGTAAATTGTATAATCATACAAGAAGTTATATGAGTAAATATCTTAGTTATATCAATGATATATCAATTGTATATCAATGAGATATAAGTGACATATCAAATATATATCGGACATATATATTAGTAGAAATCTGAGGGGAAATAAATCCAACGTCTCACAAGACTGGTTTATTGGGTTTCCGTATTTTTTGGGCTAATTAAAGGTAAATCTGAGATTTTTCAAGTTGGGCTACCTTGGTTTTTTTTTTTTTGAGAAAAATTGTTATATTTAAAAATTCCAAATGTGGATGCTAATTTTGTTACTTCACCTAATCTTTTTGTCATTATTGCAATAGACCCTTATAAATATATCCTTTTAAAATATTTCATTAGGATTTATAACTATTTTTTAATTATTTACAATTCTTAATAATTTTGAACTTTAACAGTAAGGATTAAGATATCAAAATCCAATAAACATGTTATCAACATTCGGAATTATAACGTCATTGTCACATGACTGTTTATTTGACTATCAACCATGGACCACCCAAACTCATAATTATTACATCACATCTCAAATTACCTATTTTTAAACCATTTAAAATTATTTGAAGGGTAAATTGATTTGATGTGACAAGTCTAGTAAATCATGGGTGACTCATTTAATTTTGGAATCAATCAATTCTATAAATATCTACGTTATTTTATAGCAATATGACATAATTTGTATTTTCCGACACCAAATATTGTAGAGTCAAGTAGTTGTTCCGTGAAATTAGTCGAGGTGACTCGGATACTCACATATATATATATATAAAAAAAGTTATTTGAAGTTTAACATGGTATATAAAAGATAAATTTTTGTTAGGTAGTAAATGGAAGCAACTGTACATCATTTATTTGTTACTATATTAGCAGCATTATCTCTAAGTAGATGCTTGTAACGAAATTATAAGGCTTTCTACACTGAAGCCAACGAATTTCTAAAATTATTTTCCTAGTTATCAATAGTATTTTTCCTCACTCCTTTGACATTTAGAGCATTTAATAGTTGTTCGTAATTGTTTATTTATATGCGCAGATCTCATAAATGAACATTCACCAACAGTAAATAATATTTAATTAAAATCTACATATGAATCTAAATAGGATTGATGAATAAGGATAACACACGATCTTTGCTTTCATGATCTTCAACAGTGTGCCCGTCTCTATGTTGGTATACTGTGTGAGCAATTCTCGCAAGATTTGAGGCAATTTCAAAGAAAGTTTGAGAAAAGTATGATGAAGAATTCGAACTGTGTAATCGGTTCATTCTCTTCCATGATTCGATAATCAAACCTTTTATATGCGTCCGTGCTTCATGTTCGGAGGCACCCGTGTCGTTCATGTAACATTGGAGTGATTTTGCAACCTCACCTCTCTTTGCTTCATCCTATGATTTTGAGAAAAAAGTATAATCATTAGTGATTATTCCCCAATGCGTAAACACAAGTAATGAAATTAATATACCGATGATGAAGCCAAGTCATTGGAAAGGCGAAAAATCATGGACGAATATCGAATAATATCAGGATAGTCTTCCAAGCCTTCCAAATCCTCCTTTGTTATTGACTTTGTGACAAAAACATAAGCGTGAACTAGAAGAAGAGGTCCCGATACTGAAATCCAAGCATTTTCTAAATACTCTTCCAACGTTGGTTTACAATCGGTGTAGTACCACTTTGCCTCAATCAAAAATGTTTTGCATAAATCTACCCACTACAAACATTTGAATGTAAATGAAGTTAGAATTTCCAATGAAGGACCCCACGTTGAAAAGATAAGTCACATCTCATTGTCAATTGATTTTTATATAAAGAATATTAACAATAAACATTTACCACTTTTCTTAAATATTGAATGACGTTGACTCCTTGTTCTTTGAGAGCATCGAAAGCCATATCGTTGATGGTGTTATGGAGAGCAATGAAACATATTTTCATGTAATCTGGTAATTGATGTATTGCAGCAATATCCCATCTGAAATTATAAATTTGTAATTTAAACGCATGTATATTGGTTAAATTTGATTACAAAAATTAATTAATTACCTCTCAATTGCATCGGTGAAGAGCTCAAGTTCGTCCAAAGTTGCATAAACATCATAAACATCATCAATTATTGTTATTAAAGAAGCAATCTTGGTGGTCATTCTTCTGAAGTATCCGAGGTGAAGCTCACTAGTACTCATTCCCACAGACCACAAGAAATTTGGCATCAGTCTGTCCCTTGCAAAACCAAGTTTTTCTCCCAGTCCTGTGCTCTTCCACCACCTTCGCATCCACCAATATAACAACTCAACATACTTCGAAAATTTAGACAAGATTCAAAATTATGTAACTTTGCTGAAAGTATAATGTTCTGTTACCTGGACACATGTTTTAGCTCGGCCTGGTGCGTGGATTGAAGAATATTGAAATCTAACTTGGCCAACTCCAACAACATGAGACTTGAATCTGGTTTTCTTTCATAAACATCGATGAACCATCTGGCCTCCAATCTCTGCATCCTCCAATGAATCGGGAGTTCCAAAGCATGTCTTACCATGATCGAAAAAATTCCATTGCTATTTGATTTGAGGTAATTGCAAAGATATTTGAGGGCGAAGTTTCTTGCTTCATCCAAATAATTTTCACCTTCCATTGCTAAAAATGAAGCTTCGTACAATGATAACATTCCTTTAGCTCGCTCTTCACAAACAGTACATATACTACAAGTTTCCATCTCCTCCTTAAACTCGTTGAAGACCTCTGCATGTGATTAGTGAACAATACTTACCTTAATCATATTTTACAAACACTCGTTATTATTTACTCTAAGGAAGTAAAATCTCTCACCTTGAGGGACGTGATAGCCATGTTGTCTTAGAATCCTAAATTGAAGAGCTGTGGCATATAAATTGTTCTTCTTCCACTCCATATTATAATTCTTTTCACCATGTAATCTATCATTCATAATAATCTCTAATATTTCATTTATTTCCTTTTCAAAGTGATATGACAATCCAAGCCTTTGCAATTCATCCACCACCTCCAATTGTCTCAAAGGATCTCCAACCAATTCTTCAGTCACCATCATTTTCACTCTTTCTTTTAGAATATCCCTCCTATTTAAACACGTCTCTTCCTGAACAATGTACATGAAGGTAATATAAAAATATAGGAAATGATAAATTAATGTACAATAGCGATTTATCTATGCTCATATTCATATTCAGTCAGGTCACCCAACTTTGCGAATCACATGTATTACTTTTAAAAATTGGCTATACATAAATATCACTAAAAATAATAGGAAAATAATTGTTTCATAATCTATCTTTTTTTTTTCTTTTTAATCAACGTGTTACCATGAATTCACTTGTCAATGATTGAACAAACTCGTGCTTCCAAATGGGAGGTTGGTAATTTGCAGATCGTCGAACAATAGACTCATCATAAACTTCTTTAGCAACGGTGGTCGGTCGTGTAACCATTCGAGAGAGTATACATAAGTTAGAATGAGAAGGAAGCGGTTGTGTGGTTGTAAAAGATGATAAGGGAGAAGGAAGAGGGAGATGGAGAAGACCCATTGCCATATTGAGTGAATGAATTTGGTTTTTGTTGGTAATGAAAAGTGAAGCAAAGTCTAATTCTTTTTATAAGCAACTTCTATGTTCAAATTTTACATCGTATACACTAATAATTGAATAGTGCAAACAACCAAATTTTCATCTTCTTTCTTTCAGAAAGGAAAAAAACGTTCTATATTTTATTTTTGTGGTACGCTGTATTTCTACAAAAATTTGGAAAAAACGAATACTATTAAATTGAGGTGGGTCCCATCACAACTCCGTCATCAATAAGAAAATTGTTGGTGTATGAACCAATTAAATTATTAAATTGTCAAAGCGAACATAGCTCATTGATAATTGACGTAGACCTCCAATCAAAAAGAAAATAGGTCGAATTTGATAGGATAGTTGACCACATTACAATTTTACTCTTAATTAGTTAAATTGAATAAATCAGACTGGAAAAATAATAATAATAATAAAAAAAAAACCTCTATGATATGCGTGCTAGTGTTAAAAGTGGGATGAAGACAATGAGATCCGGAAGAGTAGGGTTTATTTTGTTTTAGAGGGAGGGATGATAGAGTTAGAATTTTTGTTTTAAAAATTATATATAATTAATATACTTTATTTTTATTTTGCGCCATCATCTAAACAAAAAATAAATAAATTCTTCTACTTATCTGAAATTCATCGAAATTTGTTTTTGTTTGTTCCAAACGCAATTAGAAAATTCGAAACAATTTTCACAACTTAAAATCATGGAATTGTAAATCATTTAATAAGAATTCTTAATGCCAGCCAAAACATATTGGAGATGGTCTTACGTTGTGCAAAGTCCAACATTATCACAGAAAAAACGTGTGATTGTATAATGTTTATAGCGCATTGGAGATGTGAGACCCTCCATGTGATTCCTTGTTCATTTTTCTCTCTTCTCTCTTACTTATTTCTTGCTTTACATTGAAAATGGCTGCACATACTCGCACTGGCCCACTCACTATTTATAGATTTACATATACCTTTTTTTTTTCCCTCAAAAATGCATTTAATATTTAATATAATTCCTTTTAACTAAAACATATAGAGTAGATATTTAAATATAAAGGAAATATTTTTACCTTCAACCCTTTTTTTCCCTTTCAAACCTTAAATAATCGGTCATTTCTATTATCAATATTATTTTGTCATTAATTGTTTAAACATATCTATGGCATGTAAAGAGCCAGATTGAAATATTTATACCGACAAACTACCTTTTTTCGTTTTGATATTTTCAGAATGACGAATAATTTAAAGAAACCCTAATGATATTTTTGTTTTTTTTGAAAAGTACACAAAAACATGTCCGGTACAGTTATTTTCGAAAAATAATAACCAAACATAGCCTCTTTTAAAAAATGACAAAAAAACGTCTTAAATGCTTTTTAAACGCACGATAAATATATTTCTCCATCGCTTTTGGAATAGGACATTTTTTTCAACTATAGTATGTGTACACATATTTATTATACTTTTTATTTAATTATTTATGTAATGAATATGTATAGTTTTTTGAATTAGTAAACAATATAAATACCATTTTTCATAAAATTAATAATTTAAATATTGTATACTATTTTTCACCCTTCACGGTTTCTCAACGATCTTCGTTTTGTCCCGCCCCCAATCGCTCTTGCTCCATAGCCATGGCTGTCGAGACCTCTACTTCGAATGTGACTTCGCCTAATCCATCAATTCCAGCTGCATCTCCAACTATTTCATCTCCTCAACTCAGTCCTTTCTTTATTAATATGTCAATCCCTACTTCATTCATCATCTAGACAACACGAGTCTTGTTCTCGTTTATAAACTGCTTATGGATTAAGAATTATACTCCATGGAGTCGTTCCATGACAATTCCACTCGCGCCCAATAATAAACTATGCTTTGTTGATGGAAAAATTGAGCGACCTACTAGAGATTTGCGTAATTCTTTAATAATTTGCAATAATATCGTAATTGCCTAGATCTTACACTCATTATTGAAGGAAATATATTCTAGTCTCCCATTCTCTAAATCAACGCGTGAAATTTTGCTTGATCTTCGAGAAAGGCTTCAATGACAGAATCGTCCAAGGATCTGTCAATTGTGCCGTGATTGATCCATATTAGTTTGAGATCAAATAACTGTCTGATACGCGACAACCCAAGCGTATTGAGCTACTCGAGCCATAAGCCACTTGAATCCAATCGTCGAGTTGGTTCAACTCGAAAGGCTAACAGTTAGAGAGATTACCTTTGCAGTCGTTACCTTGAGCATACAGATTACTCACTATGCTCGAGGGCGGAAACTCTCCACGAGTTTGATGACCAATCAAACAAGCATACTCCGAGGGGTTCAAACACAAAGACCTAAGTTCAACCCCACCATCACGAGCGGCTGGGTGGTTGGAGCACGGGCCCTATCGTGTGTGGGCACGCGATGGAGCTTGTGGCAGTAGGCGATGTCGCGCGCGTGAACGACGTCGCCTTGTGAGGTTAGCCTGTGATTGTGGGGTGCGCCGTGTAGTCATTATGCGTGCGGTAGGCTTGCTTCCCGATCGTAGTTCTTTTATTGGCTCCTTCTTGAAATCCATCCTTCTCTCAGGGGGCTTCCCATCTTTATCTTCCTCCTCACTTCTGAAGGTTGATTCTTTGATCTCTTGCCCAAATATGATCACATCACTGTCAGTAGCTATTTAACTCGATTAAAGATGTTGGGAGCTGAATTAGCATAATGAAAAGTGAAGCAAAGTCTAATTCTTTTTATAAGCAACTTCTCATGTTCAAATTTTACATCGTATACACTAATAATTGAATGGTGCGAACAACCATTTGTTCCTCTTCTTTCTTTTAGAGGGGAAAAAAATTGTATATTTCATTTTTGTGGTACACTATTTCTAAAAAATTTGAAAAGCAGGAACATTATTTAATTTGGGACCAATTAATTCTTGGTGGGTCCCATCACTACTTCGATGTGAATAAGAAAATTGTTGATGCCTTTATCAATTAAACCATTAAACTACACCTTTTTAATGGTACAATTAAGGTTTGTTCACGAATATAAATAAGATTTTTTAAACATGAAGTTCAAATAGTGATTACTATGATCATTGTAAAATAATATATATATATATACATATATATTTTATATTTTCTAAGTTCAACAATGATAAAGGATGGTTAACACTCTTAGGTCACCGATAATTGACATCCATTTCTGACCAAAGGTCATGATTTGAAAACCTGGATATATAAAGATGTTCATATCATAATGATTTTTAAATAATTTATCGTGTTTGGTTGGAATTAAAAAGAAATAAAAAATAGAATTTAAAATCGTGTTTGGTAAACAAATAAAATTAATAATAATAGTAAAATAAAAATCCATGAAAAAATATGTCAGATTTAGTAGATACAATGTTACCCATACAATTAGTTAAATTGAAGAAATCAAACTGACAAGGAAAAAAAAAAAAAACTCAATGATATGGATGCTAGTTAGAGATGGATGTTGTGGTACAGTACCAATGTACAAATAATGAGATAATATGAAATAAAAATTAAAGAAACAGCTGGAAAATAAGGTATCACACAAAAAGTGGAGTACGATTTTTTTTCTTTTGAATAGACAGGAATGATAGAGTAGTTGGATTTTTTCTTTTTCACATTACGTATAATTAAGGGGTACAATGGTAAAATAAGTACTTTACTTCATTTTCTCCCCCGAAAACAAAAAATTATATATTTTTTTATTTAAAATCCATCAAATTTTGTTCGTTGAAACCCAATTAGGAATTCTAAATCATTTTCACAATTTAAAATGGTGAGATTTTAAATTATTTCATTTGAATTCTTCACGTCAAAGGGAGTATTAGAGATGAGTGACTTATGCATTCAACTAAGGTCATATTTACTTTAGGGGGTGTGAATGAACAATGAAAATCAATTTTTTAATTCACTTTGATAGTGTTTTTACACATTGTATGAATGAGAATCAAATTGAGACCCAACACAATATTTTTCATTCCGATACTCTAAAAATGGGCAATCTCATTCATCTCCCACACCCTCGTCAATCTCATTCTCATTTTTTTATTCCAGGGACACAACACATTTATTACAATTACTTTTCTATTTTTACTGTTTCTCTCTATGTAACAATGAGACCACAACTTTTTTGTAAAAGTATTTTATACTTTTATTATTTCTTTTTCACTTATGCTATTAATAATTTTTTTCTAATAAAAATTTATACCACTTTTACTAGTTGATGTGATTTTATGATAAAATATTATAATTTTTTTTTTAATATTTAATATTTAAAATTAAATTTGTTATTATTAATTATATCAATAGATTTTTTTAAAATAAAATTCATTATTATAAGAATAAAATTGAATAATATTTTTATATTAAATGATGATGATTTTCATAAAAAGACATTTTAGTCATTGTAATTTTATTTTAATTATTCATTATTTATTAACGATAAATAAATTGTTATAATAAAAAAATTATACTAAAAAATATTTACTATCAATAATATAGTAATAAAATAAAACAAAATTATCACTATTATAATTAAAAAAATTAGTACAATAATGTATTTGTAATTAGCTAAAAAGAATAAATAGATATATTAGTAATTATTATATATGTGATTCACATTCCGATTTTAGATTTTAGTATAGAATATGAGAGAAATTCTGATTCCGATTCCATAAATTTTTTTTTGGTAAATATGTCAAAAAAATAACATTCTCATTTGGATTTATTTCCATTTTGACTTCTAATAAGTAAACCTGACATAAATTAACCATTATAACGACGTGAAATATAAAACTTTGATAAGAAGTAAAAGCAAAGAAAGAAAGATAAAAGACAAAACAAAAGACACCCTCTATGTTTCCTCCGTCACTCTCAGTTCCTTGTTCGTTTTCTCTCTCCTTTTACATTAAAAATGGCTGCATGCTCACTTTTTATTGAATTACATGTACATTTTTGTAAAAAATGCATGGA